TCAACTCTGTGGTTTAATTTTGAATTCTTATATAGAGTTTGAAATTGATTTATAACCTAAATAAATGTTTAAGAATATTCTGTTCTTTCTTTCTCGATGTTAGTCGCATAATTAGGTTATTTTACTACAAATTAAGTTATTTTTTTCATTTCCCGTGTTACTGATGTTATTCGCAATATTTGATGTTATGTTATATCATATCCTAGCAATACGTCTCGTTAACCTAAGTATGTTATTGTTAATCGTATTGTTCAGTATCTGTGATATTAATTAATTTTCTTGTTTTCTTTGACTATACGTATATATCTTATTAATTATTAATTTCCTATAATCTTTCTTCACTGTATTTGTATTTCGTATATTTTAAAGAAATTTTCATTTTCATCTCGGTACTTCAATAATTACATCCATAAATTTTACCAAAAATCAATGCACTATTGTATATGTACAAAATGTTTACCAGAAAGAATTTGTAATTTTTAAATAATTATTCATATTTAATTTATAAGGAATAATTTTTCTGGCTAAGCCTAATAAAATATACCGGTGACGATTTCAGTAGGTTAGTTTCCGTTAAAATATTCCTTTACATTGTCAGCATCATTCCCCTAAGTATTCGCAGCTTTCTTTTTATTATTCACTACACAACACCACAAAATACACAACAAAACATCACTTTGTAGCGTTAAAATATTTCGTCTCGTTAAATGATGCCCGTACCGCGTCGGAAACTGACGATAAATCGAAGTGTCTCGAACGTCATTGGTTAATCGAATGGCAATCTGAAGTTTACCATAATCGTCATCGAATTCCTAACTGTCAATCATAATTTATGCCTAAAAATAGCTTCAATAAATATATCATATAAATTATTATTGTATAATAATTAAAATAATTAATTAAAATAACATGTTATAATATGGTAATCAATTTCAATTTTACTCACACATATTTCATAAAAATTCGAAAAATTTCGAAAAACTGAAAATATAATACGATACTTAAATAATATATAGATTTCAATTGAAGACATAAACTTTTTGTACGAATAATAATAAAATTGGAAATTTCAATTAAAAACAAAACGTTTAAACCTAATCACGATAAAATTCTTCAAATTTTCAAGACACAGAAGGTTCTAAAATTTCGAGGTTAAAATTTTTAAACATTAATTATTGAATTATGAAATCAGTACCAAGAAAATACCACGATGTTTATCCGGTTGATGATTAAAGCGCACTGAGAATATGCGGTCTGTCGCGGCCAATGTAGACCAGCCCGACTGCTTGGCCGCTCGCTGTTCTTTCCTAAAAAAGTTCGAGTACGCATTACCAATATGCAACGTCAACAGTACACGTTGCCTTTTGTATTTAAATAAAACAATTGCATTATACTTAGTATTATGAGAGAAAAGGACAAACTTAAAACAACAAATGCTCAGACAATAACAGCCTGATAAAACAAATATTTTTACTCTTTCTTAATTACAAGATTGAAAAAGTTAAAAGTCAAAAAATAAAAATATGGTATATCAAAGATGAAGGACTTAATTAAAAGTTTCAAAAATATATATTATTAAAGTATATTTTGTTTTTAAGTACCTTTTAAAGTAACCATTTAAAACGTTCATACGGTTTTAAATGACTGGAAATACGATAAACGTAAAAATGTGAATACTGTATTAGTAAATGAATAAGTCTGAAAAATATTTTTCTTCCTGCTTTTTCTTTGCAAAAAATATAGGAATTTTATTAATCTCTCTTGATTTTTATGAAATTTGATAAATCTAAAGAGAGACGGAACTTTTGAAATACGAATGAAATAAATCGATAACTGTACGAATGAAATAATTCGATAACTGTAATTTGAATATATCGATAAATCGATCGTTTTAAAATATTCACTACGTTGATGAAAATAATGTCTAAAAAAAATTCTATTCACGTTCTTTCACTATATAATACACAAAAAGGTATAGAGAATTAATAAAAAGCAAGATTTCTTCATTTATGATTGTGTGTATATTATCATAAATACAGCCGATATAAAACATCGTCGTGTTTTCGCGCAATAATAGTCCATATAGAGACGTACAAACGTGTATTACCTTATTGTAATAAAATCGCGTACAAAAAGACGATTAGGATAAATTTACCCCTACTATCGAAAGAGGCGTCGACTTCTCTCACTTCACGATATTTGGCGGGCTTAACTTCGATTATCCTCGAGGTCATTGAATTCGTCCACAAAAAGGAAGCGTGTTCGTTAGCGCGTAGAAACTTTATCAACTGCAACGATCTTACGTAAAACAATCATACATCTAACTCGAAATCCTACAAGAGCTCTGCTATAAGAAATCCGTAAAATATTTTTCGAATTCTGATCTCAAAAATCGACTAAGTACGCTAGCTCAGGAAAACTGATACAAATGTATTATCTTCATTAATCCATTGATTTTAATTATCTCCATATCGTGGTTCCTGCATAAAAATGATTGATCTCTTTATACTGAATATTACCATTTTTCTAGGTCTTCATTTCATTCGCGTGTTGGCTCAAAAACGAAGAAAGTTATTTTTTATTCTGCTCGCTTGGTATTATACACTAATCAAGATAGTCAGAGAATTTCCTGTTTGAATTGTTATTTAAGTATCATTGAGACATCAAACAGCTTAATTAATTAATATAAACTGGGAAATCACTCGGTTCAATGGTACTTAACCAAATTTCAATATCAGGTAAGTTAATTAACTTATTCATAATTTAAATACTATTATGCCCCGTTTAGAGGTTAATTTATATTTATTTGTCATTCAAGAAATACTTTCCGATTGTCTTGAGCAGCGTATCTCTAGAATCTAACATTTTCTGAATCTTAATGCCCTAATACTTTGATTTTCTCAATCCTTTAGCTCCTAATGGACCGATATCATTACCCTTAAGCTTACGTAACTGGTCTTGAAGCCAACATGCGATAGAAACAACACGGATTCAGCATAAAAGAATACATGATACGCGTATTTTTATTCAGGAACCAAAAACCTTATTGTTCAATGTTATTACAAAAAGGTTTTAAGTAACATTATTTGTCCGATTTCTGTAAGCTCCTATTTGGCTTCATCGAGGGATACCAAAGTACGATCAACGAATTTCCAATCGCTCATAACCATTTCCATCTTTTTTTTTTTTCTTGTTTAACATTTCTCTTGTAATAAAAACTTACAAACGCGCATATTACTAGTTAGCTACACAAAATTACAGTGAGCAAATTTATTCCTCGAATTCGCTTGGACTCTAGGAAAACTGTCCAAAGGAAATATCGTAGGAGAATCTTTCATATAAAGAAAATATATGAAAAAATATTTTTTAATCAAACAGTATGCAATGGCCCTTTTGCTGTAGCCCAAGCAAATTCAGTTCCAGATATGTTCGTCGGCTCATCATACTGCTGAACATTTTCAAATATACATAGTATCTCAAAGATCACACTATCCAACGTAAAACTTAAACATTGGTTAGCAACTAATATAAAAAATGAAACCAAGGTTTGCATGATCTTCAATATACTATACGAGAGAAAAACGAAATTTCTTCTACCTGAGACATCTACTGAGTAATAATCGTAATAAAAAAAATCTCTGTTATAAAGATTGTTAACCAAACGTGTCATGAATTTAATTCGTATTTTTATGCACGCTCATTAACAATTTCCTCCTTTGTGTCCTCCCCAATCAAATCGAATTAGTTATCACTTACAACTTAACAAGATTAACGCGAAAGCTCTCTTTAGCAAAATATAAAAATCAATCTTATTGAACACAAAGATTCTATACGTAATATTTGGTTCTTATCGTACCCTTTTACCGGGTCAAAATACAAAAGACATCCCCCCTGCCCCGTGTGTTATTACGAGATATAAAATGTTCTGCATTGCCAAAAAATTCTCCATCCAGGATACTGGATTTTGAATCACATTAAAATATCATAAAAAGCAGTTCTTTTTCATCTCTCTTTCACTCACATTCTCTCTCCCATTTATACTGATTTCCAGCAATAGTTATGCACACACGACATATTTAAGATCTACCACTTATTAGATACAAACTCACGTTTAATACAGAATAAAGTAATCACCATCATAGAAACATGTGTCTCTTATTCAGGATGTGTGATTGTAAAAACTCGGTATACAATGGATACAGTCGAAGACTAATTTGCGGTGCGTATGATACCCAAATAATAATACCACGCGAATATTATCTTTGGAATCAAGACATGTTTCTAACGTCGAAAATATTCTTTTTCATTTTTATGTACTTGTTTCAAGTATTGAAGAGTAACAGACGGAATAAATGATTTTTAATTATTCAATTTACAAGTAAGATTCTGCAAAATGGCACCTAGTGGCACCAAACAACTGTTTGATACAAAATATGCAATTCTTTTTGTAATTTTCTAGATAACAGAAAAAAATATAACAGAATATAAGATCATTTATAGAGTCTTTGATCATTATAACACGCGATACAAGGATTAATTTACTGCTTAGGTGTAAGCTTCGTAATACTTTCTCTTAACGCTTGCCTACGTGAAAATGCAAAATATATGTTCGCATATATTGTTATGCTTCTACTACGTATGATTTACCTGATCACAAAAATCTGTTCAGCAATACGTTTATTGTGCAGATTATCACATTACGTTCATATTTGATGAAGAAGAGGAAGAAACGTAATTTATTTTCTTTCCTTTAACAAATTAAATAAAAAAAACTATGATTCCGTTCGAGTTGATCCACCAGAAAGAAAATAATTATTTTAAATGTTAATATGCGCAAAACAAATATAATTACTTAATATTCAAATATTCAAATATACAGTTCTTTAGATTTATTATTTTTACTTATAAGGATTCACCCTGTAAGATGCAAAAACAGTACTGTAAAAAGTTGTACTGAAAAAAATAGTACAGTTTTGCTTTGAACATTCTTCGTGGTATTTTTAACCGTAAAAATAACATGATTTCAGTTCTGGTGGACGATCATATGCCATTCTTCCATAGACGCTCTATCGAAGTACCTATTATCTTGTCTTAGGCATTAACATCGTGTTCGAACACTATAATCTCACTCTAACTAACTCTAAAATAATAAATTAATGTCACATGAATTCGTCTACGTGCAGACATATAATAAAAAAGCATTTTGACTTTGAAAATGCTACCCGAACCTAACCCCGCCAAGCGTGTTCCACTAAAAACGCTTACATGGCCTATATTTTTTTTAAACAAATCCTCATTTAGCTCATACAGATCCGCCAATTATTATAAAAACATTGATTAAACTGCAGCAGTGTCATCAGTGCTTCTCAATAATGCGGCCGCCTTTACAACATCGCCGCCACATTGGTTTAGCATAACTTTGCAATCCTCTAGCCCAACGAAATTATTCTCCTTTTTTAATAATCCCTGAAGGCGTTCCAGTTTAATTGCTGCCAGCACATCCCAATCAGTGACATTTAAGGCTGCTATACATGATTCTGGCGTAGACTGCTCGTGCAGCACCTTCATCATGATTCTAACCTCATCAGATTGTTCTCCATTTCGTGGCCCACGGGTCCTTCTTACATTTGGCCCATCACAGGCAAATTCCAATAGATCCTCGCAAGAAACATGATCAGATTGTCGTGATAAGTCACTTGTATGACCAGTTAATTTTTCATTAGACAATCTATTGTAGGTATCCGCCAAACCCGTAGAATGAAAACTATCATTTGAATCAGTAACAGAAGACTCTTTTGAGATCTCTGACTGCTGTTTACTTATATTACATCGTAACTGGTGCGAGCTGTTTTCTGAATATTCTCCATAATCGAACTGCATCATATAATTCGTAGACTTCTGAACTAATGGTGTTCTTTGAGATGCTTGAAGTTTATTGGGGACAAGAAGGTTGCTTTTGCTGCAGGCCATTAAGTCTTCGGATTTGTTTGAATCTGATGGTGAAGAGTTTCTTCTTGTTTCATCAGTCTCGTTTTCTTCGATATATTTTGCAGCAAAACTTCTAAGGGAAGTCTTTGATTCAATGCTGACCTTCCTTTGGAGCCGTTCTGTCGAGGAATCGGTTGATTGCAGGTCACTATTTTCTTGCATATTTTGTTGATACTCTGAAGAATCGCAGTCAATTAGATTATCCGAAAACTCGAGCAGATCTTCAGAGATAACGCTAAATCGATGTAACCTATTCTCATCTGCTGGTAGCGAATCCAATGCTGCTAATTCAGAGTCTATACGTTGTTCGAATTCTTCTGGACTGAAAATAAAAAATTTGTTAGTATTTGAAGCATAAACCAATCAACCAGTTCATACTGAAATAGATGATTCTAACCTATTAGCTGAATTTTCTGTCGTGTAACCTTCTTGTAATGAACTACTGGCTACTGAAGAACTCGTACTTTGCAAACTTCCATCCACCTGATCCTCAATAGGTGGTGTGGTAACTGCCATCTTGGCCAAGGTTCTCGTTACTCCACCACCTGGTATAATTAAGGGATGCTTTCTCTGGTGTCTGGGTAAGCTAGATTTCGGTTGTAACGTCTTGGACCTATCTCTAGGTGGTAATGGTATAGGATTCTCATCCACGTTGTTTTGGTTTTGATTGTTTTCTATTTCCTGAGCAGAGTGATGTCTTTCTAGATGTCGTGACTGAGGCAGAGGCGGCGGTGCGTGTGGCGGCGGTGGTGCCCTGATTTTAGGTAACGTTTTAGAACCACTATGGTAAGTTTCGAAGTGACAATGATCAGCGGCCAAGTCATCTTGATGGGACATCGGATAGCCCAAGGTAGCATGCTTGTTCCCGCGAATTCTGGGCCTGACAATGGGCAATCCGGAGCGCAGCATACGTAACGGGTTAGTGTCCGGAGAGGTCTCTATGCTGGGCGTTTCCACAAGGCTGTTATACACTTCCTTGGCTTCATCCGACAACGTAGCCTAAACAAGTCGTGGGAGGGGATAGATTCGGGAAAGAAGAACAGAAATTAAAGAACGAAAATAACAAATAAAGGAAGAGAGAGAGAGAGAGAGAGAGAGAGAGAGAGAGAGAGAGAGAGAGACTATGATTTGAAATATAAAAAAATGTCCTCGTAAAGCGTGTACACGAATCTAGTTCCTCTTTAATTAAAAAGAAAATAGCAAGCAAGTGAAAACAATGATGAACACTCTGTTGGTGTCTCACGGTATAAATCAGTATGCCGAAAAGAGGCTGAGATGAAGTACATTCGACATAGGCCGACTAAAGACGCTACTCTAAACGGAACCGATGTAATATATTTCCTTGTTCGTGAAGTACAAATAAGAATATTAGAGTTGAAAAATCGTATATACTTAGGAGATCAACACATATATAATTCCACGATTAACGTATTCTCATTTTAGTTTCACTTCAAGTATAAATAGTATAAATGTGTAAATGTATCCAAATGTATTATCGACTAAATGTTATTATTATAATTACTATATAACATGCAAGCATGCTAAGCGTATGTGGTATGAACTGTCTCAATACAGTTCTCCATTTAAGTACACTGTATATTGTCCAGAGTTGGGTATTATTTTCATTAACGTGATTCTCATGATCTCCAAAGACCTAGAATGTGATTTTACTCCTCGCTTACAATTCATTATCATTGAGCAATATTCATTCTATTGATGATTATAGTAACAAACCTGAATGAAAAACTGCAACTATTTTATCCACATATCATTTACAAAGCATTATATCTTTATTATTTGTAACGACATATGCATAATTCTTTATGAAAGTTATTATATATCGAATAAGATATTGTACTATATAACAAATAGTATAGAATCTACTAAAATGGAATTCTTTGGAAATGAAATCTTTTAATGATAACTTCCTTCTTGAAGTCAATAATTACCACTGCTTCAGTTATATATCTCTTGATAATATTAACATTAAATGACGTTCAATTAAAAGAAGATGCAAAAGAAAGGAAAAAAATACCAAACATAACTCCTACCCAACTCTGGCATTATTCCATTTTTGCCAAGAACATGCACTTGTGGTAACATATTACAGGTTTCAGGCTCTAAGATCAAGTCAAAAACATTATAAATCAGATTCTTAGATATTTATGGAGCAGGAGATGGTGGGAAGGTCAGTATATCGTTTGTAAACTCTGGATATTCTGAACTAGTGTCAGAATCCAGATCAGAATTACTAGTAAACGTCAAACTAGAACTGGGGGCGCTTTCTGGCCAAGAAAGCAAATTATTTTTAGAGGGAAAAGGCGGTGATAGAGAATTCAAGAAACTAGTCGATGGAGGCGGTGATTTCCCGCATAGTTCTATCGATGAGAATCCCCTAGCTGTCTCTGGATGCAAAAAGTGGCTTTTATTCTTCAAATTCAATCGCAAATTATGTGGAAGCTTTTTGTGGCGACGCTTATAACGTAAGCGACTCCGTATATCTGTTTCTGAGTGTGAAATAGAATCTGAGTCTTCACTGGAGTCATTAGTAGGATGAAAAGATCTCCTTATATTTTTAATAGGTGGCTTTCTGTTCTCTGACAGTGACGATGTTCTGTGTCTATATATATTAGTAACTGTAGACATCTTTTCCAGAAGCACGTCAGTCTGGGGTAATTCCTTTCTTGTATTTTCATTCTGATACAGCTTTGGTGGCTCCAAAATGTGTTGATGTAGGCTAGGACTAGACGGAGCATTCGTTTTTTGCGAAGTCAAATTCAATTTCATATTGATCTGTGATTGACACTGAAGTGGAATATTTAAATCCAAGTGTTTAGGTTTTTGTACAGGTATATTTAAACTCCTCAGAGGCGACTGAGTTTGACCGGACATGTCCAAATTTCTTACATTAGTAACCAATGATTTGGACATAGTAGTTTCTATACTTCTCGAATTTTGTGCGATATTCTTGCCTAACTGAATCATGTTCTGTGTCAGTTTACCCAAACCCAAATTCAACCCTTGACCTTTTTTTGAATCTAGATAATTCTTTACACTCTCCAAACCTGACACTTCTTTCTGGTATTTCTCTGCCAAAAGTTTACTGTTTAATTCCACTTGATTGTTTGCTTCCGCATCAGACTTTCTCCTAAGTCGCTGAAAATTTACTCGCAGACTCTCAGAACTACTATAAACAGGAGATTCTTTTTTATCAGATTCCGCAATGAACAGTGGATTATTGGATATAACAAAAGGAAAACCATCATGACCATTTTGATTTTGTTCTATTTTACGAAAACCTTGGATATTGATTCTCATGGCCTCCATATTTCCTCTAGGGCTATCCGATCCTCCACCCATTTTCAAGTTAGTCTTTATACTATCTGTAGATCCATAAATAACGCTTTTATTCTCTTGGCTTGTGTTTCTTGATACAAATGGCACTTTTCCACTCCTTGTCTTCGATATGTCAATTTTCTTAGGAAATTCGAGTATGTTCATTTTGGAAGAATCATTGAAAGAACTTGAAATCTTCGGTCTTGTACCAAGATCTGTATTAGTTCCTTTATCCCTGGGCGAATCAAATTTAATCTGCTTACTACGTGCAAAATCAATAAAGTTCGAAGATTTTTCTTTCACCAAATCAAAACCAGCAGTTTCTTCGCATTGCGCTTCAAAATTTGGTACATTATCCTTTAATGATTGATCGCAATTAGCAAACTTACTTGATATTTGCTGGTTAAATTTGTTCACAGAAACAGAACCTTGTTCTTGAATATTTGAATAGCACGCTGATTTACTCGGTTGTTCCAGATTATTGATCTTATCGTATTTATCCTCGCTGAAGTATAACATTTTCTCACTAGAACATGTTAGTGTATTATCATCGTCGAAATATTTTGGTTGTTCAAAATAACGATCTACATAACTAGTAGATACTCTTTTTTGTTCTCGAGGAAAATCAAAGTTTGAATTCTCTATACTAAGAGAAGGCACCTTTCCATTTTGTTGAAGTTGTTTCGCATTTATGTTCGTTACACTATCGCAAATAAAATTGCCCTTCTTGTTACCATTCTCTAGGAATTCTGTTGATTTCACTAAATTCTGTTTCATAGCCACATTGTCAAGGATATGTGCATCAAATTCTATGCCCATATAGGAAGTCCACGCAGTGGGCTTTGTCAGAAGCTCGCGTGACTTTGCGAAACAAAATTCGGCAGACGCTTTATCCCACAATGGTAATTTCAAGGTGGACGGTGCACCGAGTGATTCTATGCTAGATACTGTGGATGATAGTGATTGTAAACTCGAACACAACCACTTTATTGCCCAATATTGATAGTTCTCGAACAATCATTTAGTTCATTTAAAAAAATAATAAATAATAAGCAATAATAAAGGGCAATCATGC